AATCTTTCATTCAATTCATTTACTTTTGGTAATTAGAACTCCTGCAATGCCGTCACCCGCAATATAAAACTCGCTTTATTACCTGTCTCTTATACACATCTAGATGGTATTTGAACAAAGCTATAATACCCCCTTTAGCAACTTTGTTGCGAGAGTATAAAAAAAAAACATTTTTCTTATAAAGTTCTCTGCTCAAATGGAAGGTAGTTGTCTATTTTTTAAGCGGTAGCAGAATGGATGAGAGTCAGCGGTCTCATTTTATTTAAATCAAGCAAATATGAAGTGGTTAACTGTGAGAGTTCAAAGATCTGATCAATTTTACAAAGTAAAAACTCAGTCGTATGATCTGCAAAATTTAAAAGAACCTTAAGATTGTTATTCCTTGAGTAAATTGGAAACATTACCACAAGMCTCAGCAAACCCAATATCGCAGCTACGCTTTAAAATTTCACTACAAACGCACTATCTTGATAGCATAATATTTAATATTTTTATCTTCTGCAAATTAAATTCCAAGTCACTGCGCAGTTTCCTTTCAGCCTACGGGTAACCTTTAGATTCACATTAATATAATTAAAACACCATTTGCTGACTGAAATAATTAATTTAAGCATATAAATCAAATTAATCTCGTGCACCCAAACTTCTTCTTCCAAAAATTTTCAACATTTACAGGCAGTAACTTTTCAACACTTGACCCTCATTAATAAAATACMAATTTGTACACTGACGTTTCTCGCTCTACAATATTTCGGCAGCCATGCTGGATACACCTTTATTTTAGGGTGATGTGTTTCAGATGTTCMTAAATTGCGTTTAGTTGATGCTGTGAAGCAATTAGTGTCAAATTTATTGAATTTATTCGACTGACTTAATTAAAAACACATTCTACGAGTGACTGAATCGACATATTGACAAGTATATACAAACATAACATATGTACATATATACGCACTGAAGAAAAGAACCCTCAACTATAAGTATGTAAATATTTTCCATGTGAAGTCACTGAACGACCTTTACTTTTGAAAAGTCCAGCAATTTGAAAGTTCGACAACACAACAACAAAAAGTTGCACGCACTAAATAAATAGCCTTGTGCTCTAAGCTCACACAAAGAGAATCWCTGTGTGGAACTGAACTCAGGCGGCAAGGCTGCAACAAGCTGCTGGTAAGCGCAGCTGTTTAGCGCTAAAACAAAGCAAGATTCGATGAATTTTGCAGTGGAGGCGCTACTCTAATGAGAGTAAATACGCTGTGAGTGCCAGCTGCAATTTAAACGTCTGTACGGTGCTTTTAGTAGCCCGCGGTCACATTTGTCGTGTTAAAAGTGAGCAGCCTGAGTGAGTAAGTGAGCTGACACGCACCACCTTCAGGGGTTCAATAAACAATTAAACAGCGGGGGCGACATTTTCCCGGTATTTTTTGGTAAACTCGGTGCGATTGCGCCACAGACAAGCAATTGAACTCGCAYGCGACACGTGCCCCAAATTAAATCGCACACAAATGTAATTTAAAATGTTTGCTCTCAAACTTTTGGTAACGAAGGGCAACAGCGTAAATAAATTGAAATTAAAKGAAGCAGCGAGAAAAGGAATTGGTAAATATCAAGAATGGATTGGGGGGGGCGTGGTGGAGTTAAATGCGTAGTAAGGATGCTGTCAAGGAATAAGCGACATGTGAAGCTCATAGCTATGAGTTGGGGTATAATCAAAAGTTATATTTTCTAGAATTTTGTTAAAGAGGTATGTCAGAGAAGGAATATTAATATGAAATCTTTGAAATAACTGTCGTTTACCGGTTTGCTCGACAATTGACAACCGAGCATCTGCCATAATTTGTGGGTGTAAGGTTTGACACAATAAAGGTTCAATGAAGGTTTGACGTCRAGGAGCTGCAATAACAGTGGATAGCCGAGCGATTTGAACCCTTGCAGCTATTTTTGGGTATAAGACATGACACAAGGAAGGTTTGACGATGAGAAGATGCAATCACAGCAGACAGTCCAATGATTTTCTGCTCGACTTGCACTCCTGCTCTCCGAGAGCAATCGTCAGAAACTCTGTATAATGGAATTGAGGGACTGCATTTCAACCTCCTTACGTACAGCTGCAGGAAAGCCATTGTTTTTCGGAAAAGGCAAAAGACCAGCTGGTGCGATGAAGACTGCGGTGTCGCAGTGGATCGTAAAAAGTCTGCCGATCTCGCAATGTTACAATCGAGCACAACATGTGCGGGATTTCCGAAAGTCCGAGAGTTTAAAAGTGAACCGAAACGAAGACAAAAAAGTAGAAAGGGCGAAATTCGTGAATGCGAAGAGCTTGACCAGCTGACAGACAGAGGTAATTCGCGAAAATTCTGCGAAAAGATGCGGCGACTAATAGAAGGTTTCAAGATCAGAGCATACTCTTGTAGAACCCCAAGAGATGAACTAGTGACTGATGCACCGAGCGTACTGAAATTATGGAGGGAACACTTTGCCAGCCTGCTGAATGGCAGGGAAAGCATARCAACAGGAGATGATRAACCCGATTCCCRAATCGATGACGCTACCGATGGAGTARGCRTACCATTGCCCGACCATGAAGAAGTTCGAATYAAGGGAGCAGGTGATGATGGATAGCCGGCCGAGTTATGCAAATACGGCGGCGAAGAACTGATAGGAATCATCCATCAGCTTCTTTGTAGAATACATCGATATCGTTGGCCATAACAAACATAATTCTGCTTTCTCCAGGTGGGACAAAGATGCGAAGCAAATTTGTTTGGTAATGAACGAGGGCAAGATGAAATATCTRCTGTTATCAAGCAAACAGTCGTCTCATTCGCGCCTTGACTCCCACGTCACTGTTGACACTTCGAAGTTATAAATAATTTCGTCTACCTAGGAATCAGCAWTAACACCAACAACAATGTCAGCTTCGAAATCCAATGCAGAATATCTCTTGCCAACAGGTGCTACTTCRGACTCTTTAGGCAATTGAGATGTAAAGTGCTCTCTCGACGAACAAAGACTAAACTCTACAAGTCTCTCAGCATCCCCGTCTTGTTATAAAGCGCAGAGGCGTTTACGATGACTACAACTGATTAGTCGACGTTGCGAGTTTTCCAGAGAAAAGTTCTGTGAAGAATTTATGGTCTGTGTGCATTGGCAAACGCGAATACCGCAGTCGATGGAACGATGAGCGGTACGAGATATACGAAGACATTGACATAGTTCAACGAATTAAGAGGCAGCGGCCACGCAGTATCCTCTGAGGGAATCACAGGAGGCGAAAGACCTTCACCGCGTAAGATCGCGAAAAACCAGTTTCGAGCTGACGAAGCTTAACACAACTGAATAGTSGGTTGTATGGGAGATACGAAATACTAAGGTTCCAACATATGGTCACTAGAATATCACATGCAGCTATTACTATTAATTTTCATTCGGCAATCTTAAAAACTGACGAAGAAATTTTTGCAATTTTCCATTTTTTGGCTCCATGTAAATCGACCGGCTACAGAGACGTTGTTTTTGTAATCCTTATACATATACATAGCCATATGCATATTTATATCTCTAAGTATATACATATATCTACGATATAACTACATACTATGTGTGCCAGCCCATCAGGAGTAGCGAGCTTGTATACTGTCTGAATGAATTTGCGCATCGATAGCGCTCATAGGGGGATGAAAATGAAAACAAGACCAAAGGCGACTAAGGCCAAACAAAAAAAAAAAACCGCTGAGAGTGACGTAAAATATGCTTGAAGTCAAAAAGCGAACGCATATACGCAACGAGGCGCAAATATTTGCACGCACACAAACAATATATGCCAACAACAAACAAACGCCACAAAGCAAGCAAAAGCTTGGCAACAACAACAAACAATCGTCAAAGGAATATACTTAGTCAGTATAGAACAGTGCAAACGACTGCATACAAACAAACGTAGCATATACCATTATAAATATTTATTTATTTGGTACGCATTATATGTATATGTATGCATTACATATACTACTTATACGTAGATGTGTCTAAAGCCGCCACTGCCCTTTTAACCCCAATGAATTTTCGGTCAGTCATGAATGAGTCATACGAAAGTCACACCAAATGCCATCACAGCTTTTTTGTGTGGGGCGCAATGTCCCGTTTTGACTTTTTATCGAGAATTAAGGGCGGCATGTTTGCCATATATCCATATATCTAAATAAAGCCATACTAACAATAATTATGGCTTATCAAGTTTTTATTTATTATGCTAGACTAAGATTTGTGTATTGTTTACCTTGCGTGGGAGTATCCCAAATCCGAAGCTTAGTTATGCTATGAGGTCAGTTAGTTCAGCAAAGGTTGCCTTTGAAGAATGCGCCTGAAAATGTGCAGAGAAACATAAAAATGTATACACAAATTTTTGTTAAAAAATTAAATTATTACTTTTCAATTCATTCAATATTAAAAAAATAAATATACTACTATGAGCAAAAAATAGTAAAACTTTGTTCATAATTTTAATATTAAAAATCTATGTCGTCCCCCTCAACATATGAAGTGCATATTTTCAATGACATTTTTCCATATCAACAAATTGTTCTTTATTTAAACACAGCTTTGCTTTGTTTGGCTTTTTTTATATTAATTTATTTCGAATCATTTTAAATTACTGGCGCCATTAAATTACTCTCGACAAAGGTACTAACGATTTCGGCAGCAATTTGTCGAGCATACAACAATTTAGCACGAGAACTCAGAGAAATTGGGGCCACGCATTGTGCAATTAAAATATACTACCATGTATTTCATACATAGGACAYACAGTGTTCTCTGCTTAATTGCATTAGGGTGTACGCAGAGCAAAC